TATGCCAGACTCTTGATTTGGTTGGTGTTGACGTATCCCAGGACCACCTGAAGACGAGAATTCTCCCAAGATTTTTCTTATTAACCTCATCATTTCTATGGATCAATTTGCAGTAACAATTACCCTAGATCAATTTTAACTTCACCAGTCGAAGGAAAATCGTTGACGTTGTTAGTCAGTCATTTCAGACCAGACCGACGAAGTCTCGGATGATTTTTCTTTACCATTGGGCGGTGTCGGCGGTTTTTAGTAGGACCCATCTCGACAGACTTTGTGTTGAACTCCAGTTTATTTTAGAAAATATTTTAAAATTATTTAGTCTTTCATGTATCAGTTATTACGAGGACTGGCATTTTGTCATGCGAATAATGTACTACATCGCGACCTCAAGCCTCAAAATCTACTAATTAATAAGGTAAACGAAATCTTCACCGGCTTTGATAGCAAACTCTGGAAGTTTTTTGAGAATATGTACTTGCTGCATATTGTGCCTAAAGTCAGGCAAATTTACCATTTACCGTAATTATTTAAAGGATGGGGAGTTAAAATTGGGTGATTTTGGATTAGCTCGACCGTTTGGTATTCCTGTTCGCTGTTATTCGGCTGAGGTTAGTTACACTCCTAATAACTTCCATCTTTTAAAGATAGCATCTTCAAATGCTTTATAACAATGATTGCAAACTTTAATTGTTATCATTACTAATTCTAACATTTCCTTCTGGTTACATCTGCTTATTTTTGCGACATTAAAAGCCATGGTTTTATAACGAAAAAAAGTAATAAAAACCCTGGCTGCGTGGTGTTAGCATTAGTGCGCTGCCTTCAATATTTTTTTTATCAAGATGTTTCATTTATTCAACATTCAACAGGTTGAATTGCTCAAAAATGAATACTGTTGCTCTAGTATATCTCAACTCTAGGTTGTAACATTATGGTATCGTCCGCCAGATGTTTTAATGGGAGCGAAGATTTACACGACCTCAATAGACATGTGGTCAGCTGGATGCATTTTTGCAGGTATGCATCACAATCTTTTTTAAATTCAGAATCCTCTTGAAAAAAGGATAAATTCGAATAAAACAAATGGCCAGAGCTGTGAAATCTTACTATTACAAACATCTAAGAAATACAGTGCATTTCTTTTGGCTGTTTCACGTCAAATTTTGAGCAAGAAATAAAATCAAATTAAATTGAAAAAAAAAAAACGGTGATCGAGGCTGGTAATCCACAATGTTGGCTTGAATATGATTTTAAAATTGTTTGTTTAGAATTGTCGAATGGCGGAAGACCTCTTTTCCCAGGGAGCGACGTTGATGACCAACTAAGAAAAATATACAAGTATCTTTATTGTTTCCCAAGCTCAAAAACAGTTAGATAAATTTAATATACAATGTGACAGACATGCAAAATAGTACCATTGCATTACAAATAGCGTTCAGCAAAACTGTAGCAACTTATACGTGTCCGCCGTAGGCGTCGTAAAGGCTCAGTCCTTCTGATTATTTAAAACGCTGTTTGCATATTTACTTGAGAAATTTGTTTGTAGTATATTTTTTTGACATACTGTACTAAAAGAATCTTAGGATCACCAAATGAAGATGCTTGGCCTGGAATGACAAAATTGCCAGAGTATAAAGTAAGCAAAGAACACTTAACAAAGGTGGCTCTTTTGGTGCCTCTTAAATTTTCTTTTCGTTGCTGGACGTAGTATGCAAATTGTTCAAGCCATGAATTTTTTCTTATAAAATATAGGATTATGGGTTCCATCTTCCAGTATCGTTATCTCACGTTGTTCCAAAACTTCCATCCATTGGCAGGGACCTACTACAGGTGTGGTATTCTCGTGTATTGAATTGTATCTTGGGTTCTGTGTATAATTCTCTCTAATAACACAACCTTTCTAATATGATCGCATTTTATTTTCGTCGTCTAGAAATTGCTCGTGTTCAATCCATTAATGCGTATGGCTGCAGACGTTGCAATGAATCATCAATATTTCAATGATCTTAATCCTTTAATCAAAAACTGATTATACCAGATCTGTTCTAATTTAAGTAACTCCGCTTTCAAAGAAGCAAGAAAATATTCTGCATAATCGTGAATACATGCATAAAATCAACTTTTGTTGTACATCAACTCAACCTACTATTTACTGTAAGTTAATATAGGGAATATTGGTTAAACGTGTGCTATAATATCCCCGAACGATATCACTATGCTTTTGTAGAGAAACCATATGAACATCTTGCTCAACAATAGCTGTATAGTAATAATTAAACACTGGTAGCAAAACCAAAAATGTTGATCAATATTTAGTTCAAAAGTATAAAAACTGGAATTGATTTTGAAAGCAATGAGTATAACTAACTTGTCTACATCTATATATATAGTCTTTGAATCAACTAACTTACTAAGCCATTATCCCTGTTTATACCCATGCGTAGCGTTTAATTGTTGCCGCTATATATAACAAATTGATAATGGTATTTTCGCCAATCTAAAATGTTTTATAACTGATGGTTTCTAACGAACCCACAAATTGAATGAATACGTTGAAGGTGCAACGTTGTAGCCAAAATCATGGCGAGGTGTACTTCCACCAAACTTCGCTTGATCTTCCTCTGTTATTCCAACACCATGATCTGCTCTGTCACAAGCACTTCCTCCACCACCAATCATCATCACCGCACCATCACCATTAGACCAATCACACCAAAACCCAATGTAGTTACTACTCTGAATGTTTATAAACGTGTGCTTAGGCATTGCCTAATGAAGACAGAAGTATATATGTTTATACTTCTATATGTTCATACTTCTTATATGTTTTATTAAAGATTTTAAATGAAGACAGAAGTATATATGTTTACCTTTCCATGAGAACACCCAACAAATGCATAGTGGGATATGGTGGGATAAAATGGGATGCGACGGTGTAAAAATTTCTGTTAAGAGGCAGGAAATTAAAACGTAAGTTATAAATACAAAGAAGCAAAAAACAAGACAGAATGACAGATCAAGCACAAGGTTGTGTTTCTGGATTGGTGATACAGCAAGCGGCTGGCCTGCATGAAAGAATGAAATTCTCTAGAGATGTGAGGGCGACACTGCATAAATCATTTTAAAAAAATGAAATATAAAAACGGTTTCAAAATATTTAATTATGATCGTTATATCTTACACGATGGCGGTGATATATCTCCTTTAAAAGCCCATTTGCCATTCGAAATCTCTGTAAACTTGATGGCCAACTCCTCTCCAGTGGAGATTCCGAAGGTAAGTTTTGCAAAAGCTTTCTCAAAAATCTTGAAACCTGTTAGAAATAAACACGAAGAAGATAATATGGTTCTGAAAAAGAATATCAAGAGAGTACTTAGACATGAACCCAGAAACAATCTTTGAACTAATTATTGGAGCCATAGATCATTGGGATTAGAGAGGAATTAATCTGCAATATTTATTTACTTAAACTTTGAAAAAGCATCCGTGCATGCAAGAATGGCAAACACAGTCACTCGATATTCTCTTCAAAAACAAAAACTGACAGATTACATACAAATATTGGGCAGGAACATCCCCAAATTGGGAGATATACAGAGGGTGTGTTGTTGATAAGTGGGTCGCCGATAATCACGGAACCGAGAAGAGTAAATTACTTACGACGTAAGATAGCCAGCAACGTTGAATAACTGCTGTGGCATGAGATCGGAAGAAACGTTGATATTCTTTTCGCACCTGTAAAAAAGTAAGTTCAAACATCACAGAGTTATTGTTCAGTCGACGATAGCTCTTGTTGAACTATTAAATTCCTATTTGTCCAAATTTTGTAAGACTGAGAACTGTTTTGAGCAAATAAATCATGTGAAATAATTCAACCTTCAAGTCTTCTAAACAATAAAGAGAAAAATTAGCCTACCCGCCATCCTCTGACAAACGAAGCGATCATAATGGCTGCATTACGCTGCGTCCGGTAATCCTTCTTTGCCTAAAATTACGTCAGAAATACAAAGAAAAATATTAGAATTGAAAAATATGATAAAGTTCATATGAAATGAAAAGAAATATACCTTGAATCCTCTAAATGTTTTGCTAATCAACATTTTGATGAACTACAAAGTTGTCACAGAAAATATAGAAAAATATAGATGCAGATATTTTATAAACTGTCTTCGCGAAAACAGTGATATATGATGATGCAAATGCAATAATTAACTATTTATATATGAAGAAGTAGCTTAAAACGTATACGTTACCTTCTTCCTGTCACGAAAACCCTTATAACGTTTTTGTATGATGACTGCAAGATCTTCCAACTTTTCTTCTCTTCTATCTTCCAGTGCAAACAACTAAAATTAGGAAAAGCATGAGAAAAAAAGTAAAGATTAAATTGCATTTGTTAAAATATACAGAGTTCAGAATTCTGATATGACAACATGTAAATTAATTCGTGTTTAAATCGGACATGATTCTGAATCTTTATTCGCCCAGGTGTAACGAATTGCAAAATTTATTGAAATACAGCTAAACGGTCTTCCATTTGCTGATGTCAACAATTTGCTCTGCATGAATACGGTCGGTGTCTGACCAATACTGAACTTAACTCTGTTAAAAGTATAAATATTTTATACCGTTTGTGGATTTCGGATAAAAAGTTTGGTCCTTCTATAATCATATTCACTTCTTTTGATTTTCTGACACTGAAAATTAAACAACAACAATTATAAAAATGTTTGTTACTCGATTTAGAAGATTCTTTTCTAGAATGCTTCTTCTCAGGATGTTGCATACTGCCGAAGGCAAAAGAAACATAAAAAAGCACAAGTATATAGCAACAAGAAGTAGCTGGTTGATGCATTACCATGTATAGAATTGTTTCATGCAGAAACTCGTCTTAATAATTATTCTATCCACCATCTGAAGGCTAGTTTCCACTCAGGAAAATTCTCGACCATGGTCGAATACACCATTTTCCGGCGGACTCGACCATGGTCGTATACGCCGTTTTCCGGCGGACTGGTCGATTACGCCGTTTTCTCAAAACTTGGATATTTCTGACGACGCGGACTCTTCAATGTTGTGAAAAAAACAAGAGCAAAATTACCTTCAAAATCTCACCAAGTCCTTGTTTAGGATCACGATCCCACTTTGGCCATGTTTTTGGACACAAACTTTTGTATCTGGAAACAGGGAATATTTTAAAAAAATAGTTTATTAGAGTAAGAAGCTAGTGCAAATATCATTGTACGTAATGATAAGTGAATCAACAAATGAAACCAATGACTCAGCAATATGGATTGTAGACGTAAAGTTGAGACGGTGACGACAAAGGGATGAAAAAGAGGGAAGCTTGAAACATTACGTTACAGGTTGTTTAGAATCTATATTAACTAATAAAATACCTTTCCAAAGCTATAGAGTATTCCTGTCTATAACAATAACCAGCACGGCGAACACGAACGTTCTCTAATAACCTAAAAATCCATGCGTAATTAACAACGAATGTTTTTCGCTGTTTGGGGTCTCAAAAGCTACTGAAGTATTTTAGCAGTTCGATTCACAGCGAGCAAAATTAAAATCATAATAGTTGCAGGCGCGAGTGATATCATTAGGATGAATAAATGCAAACCTACCCTAAATACCGGACTTGATGCCTCACAGAATGTTCATCAAAAACTTTTTCCCTCTGCTTCATTTGGCTAAAAAAGAAAAATAGATATTCCACACTCCTTTCTTGTAAAATTCGACATGGCAGTATATTCCCATAAAAGTTATACAATACCTTAATACACCTCACATAATTGGGATCTTTCACTCTTAAATTTTTCATCAACTGTGCTACGGACACCTGAATACAAGAAAGTAGTTACTAAAATAGACCAGAATGATAAAAAAGACAATAGAAGATAATGCAACACTCTCGAACGGCCCACCTTGAATTTGGTAGCAGCAGTACTGGGTCGTTTACGAGAAGGTGTCTCGGGATTTCCTGCCGATAAAAATGTTGCAATTACTAATCGAAACGACATAATCAACAAAATGGATTTTAACACTCATTTCCACTAACCCAACTAATCCCTTTATCTGATGCCCCAAGTATGCATGTGGACAAGGCGAAGGACCGAAGGTATCTTATATTACATGCAGATCAAATACATGCATCGTCCTCAAAGAAAATTACCTTCTGGAAAAAGTTGTTGCAACAAAGGATGTTCGCATTGAAACATTGCTTGTGATAAATCACGAAACAACGGATCATTGTTCTTGTCCAAGAAGCCATTGACGTTGTAAGTCACCTGAATAAAAGAAAAATACATTGAATTAGGCAGAGAAAGATAACAAAGATTGTTCCTTACGTGCATGAGCAAACGACACATTCATTGCTTTCCGTGAAAACCCTCCCGGGTGAAATGCCTTGGATTTGTTTCCTCACTCAGTGATTACTGATAATAATGGGTCACCGTCATCAGAAACCCAATAGGTCCCGTGCAGAAAAACCGTTGTGTCAGCATTAAATATGAATAAAAAAGCAGCTCAATTGCCCGATAAAGTTACAAAACTAATTTTTCTTACATCTCCTGCATAATGTCGCAAAACAAAATGTCCTTGTCCAATCTTCAAGTTTGGTTTCCTCGGATTTGTACCGCTCTCGCTGTCATAATGTGGATGGTCCAGAAATTTCGCATTTAATTTTTCCAAAAGTGTCATATCGGAGGCCTAAACAAAATCACATCATAGTGATGATACTGTGGATACACCTGACACATAAAGTCATTTGTTTAGTTCGAGTACAGAGGTCACAGGCCTACAGAGGCCAAAGTTGGCAGCACTAGATATTTTATATCGAATCAATATTTTGAAACAATAACTCACAATTAATATACAATTGTTATACAATATTAATCATCTTCATTTAAGTCACCAGTATAGATCAATGAAATAATCAGTACCTTTCCAGGTCGCAGACATTCTTCGTCTATCATGGCTATTATTCCAACATTGCTCTATAAGGCAAAAAAAAACAATTAAATGTGAATAGCCAACTGAAACTAAACTAAGAGTCAGTAATCTCACTTTTTC